TGCTGCTCCGGTAGATGCTACATTTTACCGATGTTCTCTGACAGGTGAGCGGCCAAACATGAGTTGGAAAACAGTGGAAAGAGCGTTCTACACTAATTTGCTGAAGTTGAAAAGTTTTCTATTAGCAGTGTTTTTAGCAGAGGTTTTTATGAACAGACGTTTCTACGAGCTGAGCGCATTTTAAATGTCCAGACCACTGGCCACCATGTTTATAGAGTCACGACTGTGATCGTTGTTAAAATGTGAATCTTCCAGATTGAATGTGGGGCTACTTTTTCTTCCTAACTGACTCAGTCGAGAGCTGAGTGCCTGCACCTGAACACTTTCGTCGTCAGGTGTGTCACTTGCTTGGCTTTCTGTTTAAGTTCTAACAAACCCTTTCAGATAAGAACTTTAACCAGTCCAGTCGCCTTCGTTTTAGTACTTTGATGAACCATAACCTGATACCTGCAAGAGTTAAATCTTAAAACCTGAAATGAGACATGTCTTCAGATTAATATCATCCACACAGCAGATTTTTATTTCTTCATTTGATGGATGTTTTTTTTTAAACAGTTATTTTTTTGGCCTCTGCACTTTTCTTTGATAGAGCAGTGAGAGAGAGAGACAGGAAAGTGTGGAGAAGAGTGGAGGGAGGACGTGTGGGAAAGGACCATGAGCGGGATTCCAGCTCATGGCCTCCACATGGGGACTGTAGCCCTGTCCATGGGACGCCAGCTCCACCAGGTGAGCTGGAGCGGCGCCCCGCTTGAATCGCTCTTGGTCTGGCCCCTCACACAGAACCGCTTTGCCTTGGGAGACCCAACTAGGGGCTGATGCCCCAGACAACATGGCTCCCAGGACCACAGGGACACTCAAACCCCTCCACCGCGTTAAGGTGGCGATTCATCGGGGGGTGGAAAGGAAAGGACAGGAAAGTAGGAATGAAGAGAGTGTAAGATTAGCAGACGTAGGGATGGACCGATATGAATGTTTTAGGGCTGGTGTCAACATGCTTTTCTTTTTTTGGTTAATCGAGAGGGTTGACAACCAACATTTTGAACCGGGCTGATAATTTGGTCAAAGCACAGGTCCGATGTCAACATACTTTTTTTTTTTTTTTAGTTTTTTTTTTTTTTTTACCATTATTTTGAACCAGGCTGATAATTTGGTCAAAGCACAGGTCCGATGTCAACATACTTTTTTTTTTTTTGTTGATTGATTGGTTGATTAC